ACAGCATGACCATTGTCTTCCATGGGCCCAATGTCACATATAAATGGGTATGGCCCTACCAACTAAAGGTCCAACTCCATGTGCACTTGTACACCTTATGCTTCTATATAAGCCTGTCTCCTAGTCACAGTTCACAACTTTTCTCCTTTTGACTCATTGATAGAAGGTTTTTGTTTGCTCATTATTCCAGCCATGATGAACTCTAACAAGCTCTTGCAGATGGCATGGAAATGGCAAAAGAATGCAATGAGATAGAGGAAAAGGCTCTCCTTTGAATGAAACACAGGTGATAGAGTGAGCTTTGGGGCAGAGGAGGGTGACATTATTCTTTATTCTATTGATGGAAGTTGTTTTGTCCAAACCGGGTGCCTGTTGGGTTCCAAGTCGACCAAGCGAACCCGGCTGACTTAGATGATATTTTAAAAAATAGAGAACAAAGAGAAGAAAAAAAAACCAAAAAATGTATAGAATCACTCAACATTTAAAATTCACTAATACGGATAGGAAACGCTCAATCTGAACACTGGGACCAGTTCGGTTCACACAAGTTATTGAGAACCAACAAGTTTCCCCTAAGAACAGTTCACTTCATTGTAGGAAACCAGTCGATTCCTATAGTAAACAGGTTGATTTGGCCCCTATTTATAACATTTACAAAAAAATTTCTCAAAATTTTAAATTTAATAACATTCTTTCTTTATCATAATAATTTCACTTTAAAAAGGAATTTATCAAATAAAGACCCCCTCACGAATGTGGAGGGCCACTGTCCATAAGGTACGATGGACTGTAAAACAATTGAATCAAGGATAGATGGAGCGTAATTTAGCGAATATTATAGATACCCCCAAAATCAACTTTCTACATATCATAACCCCAATACATTTTGTATTATACCCTAAACCTGAGCCTTATTTTTTTTTGTATTTACTCCTAGTCAAATAGTCAATGCATTTTTTTTTGAAAAAATTGCCTTTTTTTTCTTCTTCTTTTTTTCTCTCTTTTTTTCTTTTAATCACGCGATCCACTCTCTTACTTTCTCTCTATCTCTCTCCACCCGCCCTCTCTTTCTTTCTCTCTATACCCATTTCTCTCTCTATATCTTTTGGAGACTACCATCCTATCGCCCTCATGTCTATGGTTTATGTAAGGTCCTAAAGAGTACGATATACTTTCTCAAGACCGTTCTTCTAGCTGTTCTTCTGACTATTGCCATTTTTTTGTTTTTTAGGGCTTTAAATATGGACACTAACATGTTTTCTAAATTACGAAATGCTCTGTTTACATGAAGGAATTACAAAGACAGCCCGTCAACTACTGTTTTAAATTTTTTTTCTAAAATTACTACTTGGGCCAATTTTTTATTTTTTATTGTTAACTGGGCAGTGCCCCAAGGTTTAGGGAACTACCCTGTTAACATAAAAAAAAAAAACAGCCGAGTTGACTTTTTTTGTAATTTCCACCTAAAAGTAGAGCATTTCATATTTTAGGAAAAAAATTTAGAGTCCGTACCTAAATCACTCTTTCTTTCTATTTTTTTTCTGGTCCAACAGTAGGAATCAAACTTGAGATGTAGTGTCAATTGCTAACCACTGAAGCCCAAACCTGGTTCCTTTCTCGTGCAGATTACGTAACCAATCTCAGTTTCTCTTTTCACCTAAAAATAGACCATTTCATATTTTAAGAAAAAATTTAGAATCGTGACATAAATCACTCCTTTTTTTTTTTTCTTTGAGTAGTTCAACGGTAGATTGCTAACCACTCATGACCAGACCTGGTTCCTTCTTCTGCAGGTTACGTTCTACTTTTGATGCTAATCTCAGTTTCTCTTTATCCGAATAAGAGGGAGCCAACCCCCAAAAATGGAACCATACAAGTGGAAACTAATGACAAAAGAAAAAGGGTGTTGATATAAAATGAATGTGTAGTCTTATTATATTTGAACAAAATTGAACAATCCTGTACAACAAAAAAAGAAAGAAAACGATGGCTTCGTTATGAGCTTAGAAGCCACAAAGAATTTTGTTGTCAGGCATGATTCTATGCAAGGGGAAGGGATCAATAGAGACACTATGTACTCCATAACAGATGCCTCACATGGCACATGCAAAGGACCACATCTCATGAATCCGAACTCCTCTTCCACCATGGATAGCAACTCTTAAAAGTTGGGGCGGTTGAGATACGCCAATGGAATCATGAACCGGCTTCCATCTATTGTATAGATGACAAAGTAGCCCTCATCGGCTACCGAACACCCTCATCGACTGGGAGTTCTCTTGAAGGAGATTCTCTTCCTTTGTTTAGTGGCTTGCGTTTGCCAATTGTGAGCCATCTGCAAAAGTCCCTTAGAGTTGATCATGACTCCAATGAGGATAAACTACATTTGTAAGAGTGGAATGGGAAGCAATTGATGGATGTGAGTTGCGTGCAAGAGATGGGGTTTTTAGTTAGAGTTTTTGGTCTTCAATTTTTTGGTCCAGTCCGGACTAGAGAGAGAGAGGGAGAGGAGTTTGGAAGGATGACAATAGCACATGAAGTTGTTGACAGGGGCATGGCATCTGTTGGTGGTTGGCTGGGTTGCCAATTATCCAATATATAACCATGAATTTTTGTATTTAATGGTGGGATTTTGTAGCAAGAATGTAGTGCACATGTTTAAGTGATGCTGGGTGGAGAAACAAAAAAAAAAAAAGAAAACCTCTGGGCTCGTTTTCTATGTGGACAAGATCTTATATATAGAAATGCGGGCATCTTAATATATCTATTTGAGATGGATTTTAAGACTTAATTTTTAAGGACATGTAATCTCTAACATGGAGATCATGAAAATGAAAAAATAATTAATTTTTAAAAACTATAAATAATAAATCTAATAAGAAAACATTTGGACCGTTAGTTTCCATTGTTTTTAGATAGAACACCTACTTGCATCCCTCTTTAAAATGAATGCTATACACTTTTTGGACTGCATATGTAGAAACACGGTCCAACCTGCATGAAACAATTTTCCTTATTGATTTGATCCTTTTTGGGTGTGTGTGTATTTTGAGTGGGAGACTATTTCACTATTAATGGCTAAATGGAAAATGATATGAAATGAACTTAACAAATATGTACGGAATGTTATAGCATGCAGTAAGTGCGTTCAACCCTTGTTGTTGTCCTAGCTTAAATCCCATGACCCATGCTTATTTATATAAAGTTAGACCATGGTGGGTTTTAGTGGGTCTGTGGACTCTAAATCCCACGACCTATGCTTGTTTATATATAACTTAGATAATGGTGGGTTTTTGGACTCACCAATTTAAATGAGTCGACACATTTGAAATAAAACTAAAGTGCAATATATATTTTTTTAGTTCAATGGTAAGAATCGAACTTAAGATGTAGCATTGCTAGATGGAAAAAGTTTATATTAGGATGCAACCTTATAATGTATAACTACGAAAGCACCTCAAAAATCCATCGGAAAAGGTAGTTTTAATGTTGAAAAACCCTTTGATTGATCATCTCGACATCGAGATGTATAACTATGAAAAATAAAAAGATTTTAAGTCTAAAAAATAGTGCATTTTACAACATATTATCTACACCATCCATTTTCAAGATTTTCATATGTTTATAGATCTACTTGATTTTAACCATTTTTAAAATTTAAAATTTTATAATTAGATATAAAAATAGACTTTGGGATAATCCTAAGAGCATTTTACATCAAAATTATATATCATGATAAAATTTGAAGGTACACCGTACGGATACATCCGTAGCTGCTTACCACTCAAGACAAGTCCTATTCCTTATGGTCTCTATCTCACTCAAATTAATATTCCATATCTTTGGGAAATTTTTACTAAATACTTATTTCATTTACAAAGTCATTGAGGTGGACAAATCATTCATCTCCATTTGTACTTGACTCAGATGTACCTCTTTGAATTCTTTATTTAAAAATAACCACATTGCTCGAGTTCAGGTTTGAAATTCCAAACGAGCAGTGTTGTTTTCGTGGTTTGGCCTCTCTTAAGTGTCACGGCCAAATGACATGATTATCCTTGTTTTTTCATGATTATAAATCATTGAATCTAGAACATGCTTTTCATGATTAATCCATCATGACGACTACTTCATTTTATGAAATCTTTGCAGATCACACTGCTTAATCTCAAACAACACAAGAAAATCTATAAAAATAGACAAAATACTTAAACTACCCGAATAAATACTGAAATCAGATGTGTTTGAACTGACTTCTGATTAGACAGATTTGAGACCTCACTAATTCAGTATTAATAGGAAAGAAAATCACATGAACTCAACATAAGCTTTATATTCCTTGGGCCCAATATCTATCATGGCCTCAATGTATGTCACATTTAAATGACCATTGAGAAATGATAGCCTACCAACTAAAAGCCCAACTCCACGTGCACTTGCACACATTGCTACACAACCTCTCTCTCTCTTTTTCAATTAGTTACTTATGTTTCTATATAATCCTGTCTCTGATCACTATTCACAACTTTTCTCCTTTTTTGACCCATTGATAGAAGGTTTGTCTTTGCTCAGTTATTGCAGCCATGATGAACTCTAACAAGTTCTTGTAGATGCCATGGAAATGGCAAAAGAATATCACAAGATGGAGGAAGAGACTCTCCTTTGAAAGAACCATAAGTGACATAGTGGGCTTTGTGGCATAGCAGAGTCACATCATTATTTATACCACTGATGGAAGCCTTTTTGTGATTCCAATACTCGAACAGGGTGCCTGTTGGGTCTTGAGTCAATCAAGCTAGCCCGGCCGACCCAAGCCCAAGCTTGGTTTCCGATTACTGCTGGTAACATTTTCCTTATGATACCAATCTCAGTTTCTCTGGATTCCAAGTAAGAGGGAGCCAACCCCAAAAAATGGAATCATAGAAATATCGACTAGTGCAGAAAGAAAAAGGGTGGAGATATAAAATGAATGTGTAATTTTATTATACTCGAACAAAATTGTACAGATCTATACAAAAAAAAAACAAAAGATGGCTTGGTTATGAGCTTAGAAGCCACAAAGAATTTTGTTGGCAGGGATGATTCTATGCAATCCAAGGGAAGGCAATGGTTCTCTGCATGATGTTATGGAAACCGTTGCCTTCTCCACCTCCACACAAACATTCTTGCTCAATAGGGAGACTATGTAGTCCATAACAGATGCCACACATGGCACTTGCAGAGGACCACATATTGTGAATCCGAACTCCTCTTCCGCCATAGATAACAACTCTTGAAAGATGGGGTGCTTGAGATAAGCCAATGGAGTCATGAACCGGTTTCCATCTATTGAATAGACGACAAAGTGGCCATCATCGGCTACCAAACCCCCTCGCCGATTAGGAGTTCTCTTTTCAACGGAGATTCTCTTTCTTTGTTTAATGGCATACTTTTGCCATTTGTGAGCCATCTGTAGAAGTCTCTTAGAGTAGATCATGGCTCCAATGAGGATAAATTAACTTTGTAAAAATGAAATGGGAGTAGTTGAGCGAAGTGGATGTGAGTTGGGTAAGAGATGGGGTTTATATAGAGTTTTTGGTCTTCAGTTGTATGGCTGAGAGAGAGAGAGAGTAGTGATAAGGCTTGGAAGGTAGGTAGTAGCACATGGAGTTGTTCATAGGGTTGTGGTGTATGTTATGTAGAGAAAGACGGATTCGACAAAACCGGAAAAATCCGCTTCTCAATAAGTGTGACAATGCTACACTAGCCCAAGACTCACAATTAAATAGAAAGAAGAATAAGAATCAAGATGAAGTGGAAAAAAACCTTATCTTTCATGAAAGAAAAACATGGGATAATTAACCTTGACATCCTGTATTAACCATAAAACATGTGAACCAATGTTCTCACCACAAACCTCTCTTTAAATAGACATTTTTACAGCCATATTTTCTACAATAACTACCCACCTATAACTATAACTACTAACCTACAATAATAACTGTTAACCACTTAGTAGTTTCATAACTTCTTATTACACAAACTTACAAGTACAACCTCACTATATCACTCATAATAAAATAACATAAAAACTAATATGGTTTCTAGAAAATACACTTTAACAAATTTAAGAATCCCTCTTAAAGTGATTTTCTAGAAAGGAGACCATGCATACATGATCATCTCCATCATTTTCCGAAATTGAAAATTCGGCCATTTGGCGGGGCAAAGATTCTTGTGAAGTAAGAAGATTCTCAAACTCTACCATAGATGGCTACCTAGCCCACCCGTGAATAGAAATAACATAGGGAATGCACTCCCTCTTTAACTACGAATGATGTGCCGCTTCATTTGTGCCTCCGAAATAGGTTCCTCCAGAACAAGATGAGAAATCTCTTAACATAGATTCTTGATCTTCAAGAAGAATTGAGAAATGGAAATATCACCTTGAGTTGAGTTAGCCAACTCATTCTCCAACAATTGCAATCCAGCCCCATCTTTCTTATTAAATAAACCATCAAGACTAATCCAAATATCACAAGCCCATTTGCAATTCACAATATGATCAAATAGATTCTGGGAAATAAATTTCTTCAAGATGGACTTGGCCTTTGCAATTCTTACCTCCATTTTTTGAATGCATCATTATTTTCCGGAGTAGGAGTATCCTTATCATATCCACTCACAACTTCCTATAAGTCTTCACCAACAAAGTAAGACTCCATATATGGCCTCCATATCTTGTAGTTTGATTGATTGAGCAACTCAATGCTAAAACCATTCATCATTCCACCCAAATTCATCTTAAGAAATAGTTAATCTTCTTCACCAAGGGAGTCAAGACAACATCACCAACACCCTTGTGGCTTTGATACCATGTAGAGAGCGATGGATTCCAATCCTGGAACAATCCGCTTCTCAATTAGTGTGACAATGCCACACTAGCCCAAGACTCACAATCAAATAGAAAGAAGAAGAAGAATAAAGATGAAGTGGAAGAAAACCTTATCTTTCATTAAAGCAAAACATGGGCTATACATAGGCATTACAATCTTGAGACCCAAGATTAACCTTAAAACATGTGTACCAATGTTCTCACCACAACTATAACTACAAACCTACAACAGTAACTACAAACCTACAACAGTAACTACCAACCACTTAGTAGTTTCATAACTTCTTATCACACAAACTTACAAGTACAACCTCACTACATCACTCATAATAAAATAACATAAAAAACTAATATGGTTCTCGAAAATACACTTTAAAAGATTTAATACTCCTTCTTAAAGTGATTTTCTAAAAAGGAGACTATGCATGATCATCTCCATCATTTCCCGAAATTGAAAATCTTTAGCGGGCCAAAAATTGTTGTGAAATAAAGATTCTTAAACTCTACCAAGGATGGCTACCTAGCTCACCCTTGAATAGAAATAATATAGGGAATGTACTCTCTCTTAAAACCACGAATGATGTGCGACTTCATTCATGCCTCAGAAATGGATTCCTCCAAATCAAGAAGAGAACTATCCGAACAAAGACTTTTTATCTTCAAGAAGAATTGCAATCTAGCCATATCTTTCTTATTAAATAACCCATCAAGAGTAATCCAAATATCACAAGCCAATTTACAGTTCACAATATGAACAAATAGATTCTAAGAAATAGATCTCTTCAAGATGGACTCAACCTTAGTATTTGTTACCCTCCATTTTTTTAATGCATCAGTATTCTCTGGTGCTTATCATTTCCGTCGACAACTTCCTATAAGTCTTCACCAATAAGGTAAGACTCCATACATGACCTCCAAATCTTGTAGTTCTATTGGTTGAGCAACTCAATACTAAAGCATTCATCTTCTACCCAAATTCATCTTAAGAAAATATTAATCTTCTTCGCCAAGGGAGTCAAGGCAACATCACCACCACCCTTGTCGCTCTGATACCATTTAGAGAGCAACGGATTCCAATCCCAAAACAATTTTGCTTCTCAATTAGTATGACAATGTAACACTAGCCCAAGACTCACAACCAAATAGAAAGAAGAAGAAGAACCGAGATGAAGTGGAAGAAATTCTTATCTTTCATTAAAGAACAACATGGCGTACACAAAGGCACTACTATCTTGACACTGAAGATTAACCTTAACACATGTGACCCAGGGTACACAAAGGCATTACAATCTTCACTCAAGATTAACCTTAAAACATATGAACCAATGTTCTCATCACAAACCTCTTTTTAAATAGAGATTTTTGCAACTATATTTCCTACAATAACTACCCATTTACAACTGTAACTACTAATCTACAACAATAACTACTAACCAGTTAGTAGTTTCATAACTTCTTATTACACAAACTTACAAGTACAGCCTCACTACATCACTCATAATAAAATAAAATAAAAACTAATATAGTTTCTAAAAAATACGCTTTAACAAATTTAACAATTTGTGGTTGGCTGAGTTGCTTATCATCCATTATATCACCATGTACTTTTTATTTTTATTTTTGATAGAAAGCAAAAGGTGTTGAGCTTAGAGACAAAAGTAATGGTGGGTTTTTGCAGCAAGAAAGCAGTGCATATATTGAAATGGTGCTGAGAGGAGAGAGAAAAAATAGAGAGCTATTTCTTCTCTTTCTTTTTCTGCTTTTCATTTTTTTTTTTTAGGGGAGGTAGCCATTTTCCCCTAACGCCTTTAGAAGATTTAGAAAAGTGATAGGTGCTAGTCCCGCTGAATTGCCCAAAAAAAAAAAAAAGCTACCATCTAATGGAATATATTATGAAATGGATATAAGGAAAAGGTATGGAATGTTATAGGATTCAATAAGTGCGTTGAACCCTTGTCATTGTCCTAACTTAAATCGCGTTGAACCCTTGTCATTGTCCTAACTTAAATCCCATGACCTATGCTTATTTATATATAACTTAGACAATGGTGGGTTTTAATGGGTCTACGAACTTGCCAATTTAAATGACTCAACCAACCAAAAATTCTTGCCAAAGTTTCCCGAACCACAATCGGAAGAAAATACAATATATTTCAATATTTTTTTATCTATTCTCATAAGGTCTTCACAATTTTTGAAACTGCAACCACTTGTCTAAGGAGGAATCATTTGGAACATATTTCAGATATTAAAATATGGAAAAATTAGGATGACTGACGATGAACAATTTGAGCAATTTCAATTTGTGTTTTTAATATTTTTGTTATTTAAAATTTATATGTTCCGGCATGTCTTCTTTTTAAAATTTGTGCAAGGGTACAAAATATGGTGGTCTTGCAAGACCAATAGGGTGTGTGATTGGGTCGTACCTCCAACCCACACCAATATTTGAACTTATATGGCCTGTTTGATAACTAGAAGATAAATGACCCTAGAAATTGGAAGTTCTTCTATGTTGGGAAGAAAGAAGTTACTGTAAAAAAGTTCTGGGTGCCTGTATTTGATAACCTAATGAAATGCTAAAATATGTTATATTATATATTGTATTATAAATATCTATTACATAATTATAATATATAATATATTATATAATAAAATATATTGTATATTATATAATAAAATATATTATATAATAGTATTTATTTTATATAATAGTATTTATTTTATTAATATATATTTGTATGATATAATGTACCGTAAATATCTATCACATAAATAAAATATATTACACAACAATCGCCCCATCCAGATTTTGAATTGTTGGGAGTGAATGGTGCTCACTTGGAATCGGCAATTTCACTAACGACAGTGGAATCTTTTTTTTTTCTTTTTTTGTTTTTGTAATCCCAACAAAAAAAAATTTGAAGCCCGTGAAGATCACTTTTTCAGATTGAATCTCCTTTTTGCAGCATTATAGGGGACAGTGATTGATCCCAATAATGCAATTTCATTTATAAAACGAGTGTTGCATGATCAAAGCTCAAAAGCAAAATCGATTCCCCATTTTTTCAATTTTTTTGGAGAAAAAATAATGTTTTTTTCCTGGTTTCTCAGTCTGCCACAGATCAAATTTCTCTTCAATTTTCTCCGTGGCTTTTGTTGAAAATGTTTTCAAAACAGCGTTTAGAGACCCTAATTCAAATACAAAATCTCGTTGTTGGTTACCGATTAAAAAAATCACAGTGGCATGGATCTAGCTCCAAAACAAAATGGTGGGGTTCCTGCCATTTTTTTTTTCCTCGCCAAAAATGAAATGTCATTGTGAAATATGGAGAGTTTCCTCTATCATCTAAAACTGAGATCTGAAGTTTTATTTCATAATTTCTTCTCGAATTCTTTTTCTCTCAAGATTGCTATTTGCTGCATATTTTTTTTTCCTTTTAAGGCAAAATCCGCCCTTTCATAGATTTTGTGATCGTTCTTTTAGATTCAATTTGTACAAATTTGATCTAAAATAATGTTCATTCATCCCTCTACACATTTGCTACACACATTTCATGAATTAAAACCTCTTTCCATGTAAACAGAGGGGGATTAAAGCCTCTTTCCAGGTAAATAGAGGGGGCCCACAAAACTGGGCATTTTG